TTAATATTCCCTTTTTTACAAATAAATTATCCCCAGCATGGGGACAGGATAAATGAGAATCTAATAGAAAATTATAATTTTTCTTTTTTTGTAACATAATAATAATTTACCGAATCCAGAATGTTTTCCTACCTTTAATTTTTTATTCTTGTTACAGTTTGACAGCAGGTTACAAGAGCCATGCCATTATTGTGATCAGCCACATTAAAAACACTTGCCTAATATTGTGTACATGATTTAATGATTGTTTTTTGCGAAAAAAAGGAAGCGAGGACACAAAAGTGAATCTGCAGGTCATTGCTCTTAATGTGCACAGGCATGTGCACCTGTAACACGCCTAAACACGCGTGGTGAAATGTGAAAAATTCTGCACCTCTCCGCACGTTGCGTCGCCACGGACCCCGCCATTCATCACACCCACAAAGGCTACATATTTTGGCTCTCAGATGTTTCACACAGCGGGATATCTAATCATGACAAATCGCGACTCAGCACAATGAGTTGCTCGTTTGTGTTCTCATTTGTTCTTGCGCTGTGGCTGCTGCAGTGGCAGTGAAGAGTGGGGAAACTAAGACTGGGCACATCAGATGCTTAAGCCTGTTCTTTTTATTTGTGTTCATGGTAACGAGGCAACTATCTGCTTTTGTGTTTGGATTCATGCATACTTTATGGGCGTCAGTCTGCGATCATACGGCACACCATATCTATTTATAGGATCTGCTTGCAGTTTAGCTCGTCATGATTGATTTGGTTTCTGGTTTCTTTCTGTTTGATCTGCGAGCTTTTATAAACCCCCCCTCCTCAATGCAGTACCTCCTCCATAAAATGTCCTTTTATTACCGCCTTTTGTTAAGCAGTTTAATGTTTTTACTAATTTGCTAATATGCAAACTTCCTGTTGCCAGAACTATTTTTAAGTTCTCTTAACAAAGCTGTTTGATAACTCGTATGATAAACGAGCTGCGCCAACACTGTCCATTCATAAAACGTGAATGACCGTGTGGGTAGTTGGGAAATGTGAGGGGGGAAAAAGGAAAACGATGAGTCATTCATGAAGGCAGGATCCAGGTAACTGTTAGGTTGTGTCTATCAGATGAGATTAAACCGTCTGCAGTCATTTCACAGAGTACTTCTGAAAAAGCACATGTTCTCACCATATGGTGTGTGTGTGTGTGTGTGTGTGTGTGTTTGCACACATATTAAACTGAGGGTTTTTTTAATACATACCAGCTAATTTTTTTATGACAAACTAAACATTTGTAAAACCTGTTATAATAATACAAAATGACAAGAATTTTTTTTGTCAAAAACAGACTAATGAACTCAATGGAAAAAAACAAAGATGAGGAAATTGCACTTTTTTTTCTTCTTTGATGCATTTCTTAAGACCTGTCACAATTGTGTAACCTTTCTGTTCATTCGTCAGCTGCTCCCTGACTGACTGTAAATGTTACATGAGAAAGATATATTACGGAGGTGTGTCTTTTTAATATAAAGTTAGCGGTAGGCGACGGTTTGAAATGGTCTTTTTCATAAATTTTTGAAACCCTGGCTCTGTAAAATGTTAATAAAGGAGAAAATCTACTTGCTAGTTTTTGTAAAGCTCACTTATTAGCATC